TATGGTTCTGCTGTAAAGAATAACAGATTTGAGACATTTGTAGGAAAATGGATAATGTTGAGTGAAATAAACCAGTCACACAAGCTTAAATACCATATGGTAACTTTCATTTAAGTGGGGCAAAGCACAAATGAAGAGAATAATACGGATAGACAGAAGGGGACAAGGAGATGGATCTCTTGCAGAAGGGAAGTGGGCCAAGGGGAAAAGTGTGAGGGGTGAGGAAGGGAAGGGGAAATAAGTAGAATAAAGGTAAGCCATGAACAAGAACCTAACAACCTCAATTAATGTAACTATAAATGCCCTAAGATGAGCTGAGATTAATAATATCAACAAGAATTTTGAAAAAAAGGATGGCGGAATTGGAGGATGCAAGAGGGAGGGGGAGAAAATTGAGAGGAGATTACAAAAAGAAGGAAGATGTGTTACGTACATGTAACCACTCACTCCCCAAGATGACTGCAAACTGCATGGACTGAAAACATGTAGTAATAAAATTTGTAAAAATTGCAAAATGATAGCATGGGTTAGGGCAAATGTATAATAGGAAATTATTGTTTAGTAAGTGCAAGAGAGTTTCAGTTTTATAACATGAAAAACTTCTGGAGACTGGTTACAAATACAGGTGAATATATTTACCACTACAAACTGTACTCTTAAAGTGCATTATCTAGACAGAATGGAGTACTGAGCTATACAGAATAAGTTTGGCTCATTTTTAGAAAAGTGGATGAAAATTGCAATCATCATGCAGAATGAAATAAATCAGACACAGAGGGTTAAATACAGTATCACATGGTTTCTCCCATATGAGAAAACCAAAGTATGAATAATTTAAAGATCAAAAGATAACATAAATGATAGGAAACCTGCAGGTACACTTTGGAGATAGGAAGGGGATATGAGGATAGGAGATGCTGAGGGGTAGGGGAAAGTGTAAAGAATTAAAATATGTTGTCTATATGCACAAATTTCCTACAATGAATGTATAATAAACATACACAAATATGTCATACACATTAAAATGATACTTTATTGTGAGATTATTAGTCTGGTTTCTTCTATATTGCAATTATGCAAACATATAAATGTTTTCAAATAAATTTTTTAAATTATTAGGATGGTAAATTTTGTTATGTATATTTCACCATCATTAAAATTAACAATTAACAGGATGCAAAATAAACACACAAATCAGCAGTGTTTCTATACCAAATAATGAGCCACTAAGAAAGAAATAAGAGAATAAATTCCACTCAAAATAGCTTTCAAAAAGTAAAATACTTAGGCATCAACAAAACAAAGGAAGTGAAGACCTCTACAATGAATGTTAAAGACAGTGAAGAAAGAAATTGTAAAAAAAATCATAAAATGGAAAGATAGCCCTTGTTCGTGGACCAGAAGAACTAATATTTTGAAAATGGCCATACCAAGAGAGATTTACAGATTCCATGCAATCTTTATTAAAATGCCAACAATATGTTTCACAGAACTATAAAAAGCAAACTTGAATTTCATGTGGAAATAGTAAAAACACAAACAGCCACAGAAAAACCCCTCCTTAACAAAAGGTAGAATGCTACACTCATCACTACACTGGACTTCAAGCTATACTATAAAAACAAATAGCACTGACACAAATACAGAAATGGAAACCAATAAAATAGAACAGAAGACACAGAAAAGAAAATCCAGGAAATTACAACCGTGTGATTTTTCACAAGAAGGCCAAAAATGTGTTAGAGAAAAGATAGTCCCTTAAACAAATGGTTCTAGACAAATTGGATGCTCACACACAAAAAGTTGGAAAAAGATCTTTATTTCTCACCCTGTACTAAAAAAGAACGAAAATAGATCAAGGGATTCAGCATCATGGTGGGCTAGAGGGAGCAGTGCTCTCAAGATTTTCAGAAGATACTCACCAAGGATTGCAGCAACTTGGATACGGGGGTGGGGAGTGGTGGGAATAGCTACATGACAAAACCCAACCATGGGTGGGTAACTTGAAGGAGAAGCCCAACAGATGAAATCTAGTAACTGGGATATATCACATAAGAAACAGGTCCACTTCTCATCCCAGTACTGCTTACAGTCCAGACTCTGCCAATATGCCATTTTGGGAAAGTTCACATCTTTCTGAGAGAAGAAGGTGAGTACAGTGACTGCCAGGTTGCTCACCGGTGTCCAGCGGAGGAGCTGCCACTATGCCCAACTTGTATAACTGTTCTCCAGCAGGGGGCAGGACCTAGTGACAAGAGATTCTCACTATGGAAAGTGGAAGCCAGAGAATTACTCAGAGAACAGTGACTGAGTTAGGACCTGTGAGTCCAAGGGACAGAGAGGAATGAAGTGTACTGTCCTAGTCAGGGATGGAGAACGAGACACTAAGGGATCTGTGAGACAGTGAGAATCACAGGGGTGTGCTGCAAGTAACTGTGAGCAGTGGGAACAAGAGGTGGCGAAAGGACACTGGAGTATTGTCAGAGCAGGTTCTCTCCCACTGCCATCCCAAACCCCAGAGAGTTCTAGGCCTATGTGTGCTCCCTCCTGCTGATCCCCAGCTGCCACTGTATTCCATGTGAATGGCTGTTTTTTCACTAGTTCATCACTGAATTCACAGGGTGGAAACAGACTCTTTGTGAAGCTCAACACCTTGGACATGGGATCACTGAGGGTAGAAAACAAAATTCAGATCACTAACCATGGAGGCTATTTCCTGCTGCACCATAGAAACCACTAAATACCCCAGGTATAACTGAAATTTGAGATGGGCATGGTGGCCCACACAGGTAATCTCAGTGTTCAGAAGGCTGAGGCAGGAAGATCATCATGAGTTCAAGGCCAGCCTGGGCTATGTAAACAAGTTCAAGGCCAGCCTCCACTATGTAGTGAGACCCTGTCTCAA